GAACTGAACTTGAACTGAACCAAAACTTTAAGTTCAGGTTCAGTTCAAGTTCATAAATCTAAAGTTCAGTTCAGGTTTAGGTTCAATGATCTGCAAAATTTGTGGTTCAGGTTCAGGTTCATTGAACCTGAACCTGAACTGAACTGAACTTCGGAACACTAGCCAGAGTTGTTATTTATAGGTAGTGGCTTTCACTAGCATTGTTGTTTATTGGTGCCGATATTTCTTGATGTGGTGTTTTTTGGTGTTATTATTACTCATCATTGTAATGAATATATATTACCTCTATTGTTATTGTTTTACTGAAACTATGTTAGAGGGGTTACAGCACGATTTTCTGAAAGTTATTTCCTCAACTTGACATCATACAGCATGACAATTTGTTAAAAATATATATCCGCAACTAATTGAATGCTTATCCTAACCCTATGTAATATTGAATAAGTGATCTGTCAAGAAATATCTTTTGGGAAATTGAGTAATAACCATTAGAGGTTATGGTTAAATTAGTGATTAGATTAGAGAGCAGGTTAGAGTTGATGATTATTTTATGAGTTAGAGTAGAATTAGTATAAATGTAAGACATTTTTAAAATATTTCTTATATAATAATATCTAAACTATTTGTTAGTTATAATTATATAACTATTATTGTTATAATATTTATAATTTGGAGTATTAGTTAAAATTTAGATTATAATCTAGATTGTAATTTACGATATTTGTAATTATTATTTGTATATTTTAAATAAATAGATTTTATATAATATTATTAATAAATTAAATTAATATTTTTAAATATATTTAAAATAGAGAATTACTACGTTTAACCGGAGGGAATTTTCCAGTTACACAGATCAGTGATCTACATATATACCCAGATCACTGATCTACATATTTATTTTTTTCTTTCTGTTTATATATTTTTTTTCTGTATCTAACCGTTACTTTTTTTTTATATAGTGTCGATTTCTTCTCTGCCTTTTCTTTTTTTATGCCATTATCGTTCTTCGGTGTCGTCGCTCTTCGGTATCATCGTTCTTCAGTATCGTTGTTCTTCAGTATCATTGTTCTTCGATGTCGTCGTTCTTCGGTGTCATTGTTCTTCAGTGTCGTAATTTTTTAGTATCGTCACCCTTTGGTGTCATTGCTCTTTGGTGTCGTTGTTCTCGGTTTCATTGTTTGTAGGTGCTTCGTTTCGTTTGGGGTTGTCGTATTTTGGTGCTGTCTCTTGAACTTGTTGTAGCCGTCGTATGCTGGTGACATCGCTTGTGATTCTTCGTATGTTGGTGCTTTTTTTTTCGTTCAGGACATTTGTTTGTCATTGCTGGTTACTAATTGGTTTTTTTTTTATTCAGATCGTTGGTTTGTCGCTGCTAGGTTGTGTCTTCGTTATTGTTGCTTTCTTTAGATTTGTCCTTGATAGTACATATTAAAACAATTGATTAGAGTTAGTAGATAGGTATAGTGTTAGAACAGAATTAGAAGATTGTATAGGTTAGTTGTGAAGTTGGAGTTAGATAGTAGCACGGAATTAGTGTAAGAGCTAGAGGGGTTTGGGTTAAGGTAGCGCAGGATTAGTGTAAGAGTTAGAGAGGTTTGGGTTAGGGTAGCGCAGGATTAGTATAAGAGCTAGCTAGAGGGGTTTAGTATTAGACAAAAGGATAAGTTAATACATTTTAGTGATATTTGTACTATTACACCCAGAACTACCTTACTTTAGCGACAGGTATATTAGGCAATTGATAATTAAATTCTGATTTATGCTAAGTAAAGTACAGGGTTATTTGCAGTTACGTGTTCAAGAGGATTGTGATTTGCTATTATGAAAAAGGCAAACAGCTAAATGTATATAGAGATACAAATAGTTATTGATAAGGTTCTCGAGTTATATACTAGAACCACTAATTTTAAAAGAAGCATTAGCACTACTAGCGCTACTATCGTTACTAGCACATGATGCTAATTATAGGGGTTAATGGTACTATATCTTACAGTATGTAAATAAATATTAAATAAATATATATCGATATGTAATAAATATTAATGTAATCGTTTTTACAATTTTATTGATTAATTAGAGCTCGTGTAACTAGGAAATTTACCCCGGTTAAGATTAGCAATTCTCATAAAAATTAAATATATACAAAAATATATTTAATTTATGATGTAAACATTATTATATTAATATTACAGTAAATTAAAATTGAACGAATTCAAAAATATAATTTTTATTAAATTTATTATGCCGAAAAAATTATTAGCCAAAAAATTTTTCGGCTAATTTTTTTATAGATGTCCTAGGAATAATGAAAACAGCTGTAAAACTTAACTCAATCTGCAGAGAATAGATTAGTAGGTCTACCGAAATTCAGCAAATCGACCTAAATTTGGGTTAGAATAGACTGGAATTGATAAATTTTTTTCAAAATGTGATTTTTAGCCAATTAGATCGAAAGATTAGGTATAATGTAAAATCAAAACAATCAAATACACAAAAACAAAACAATCGAATAAGCGAAAGATTTAATGCAATAAATATTATCTTAGAGTTAAAATTAAGGTCAAGAGATGGATATAAGTTATACTAAAATTTCGCAAAAAATTTTTTTTGTTAGAACATATAAAGCAGTTTTATAAACAAAAGTTTGAGTTATTGGTAATTTTTGTAAAAGCTATAATTTTCATATTACACCTAATTCTTCAATCTAATTGGCTAAAATTATATGTTAGAAAAAATTTATGGGTGAGCTAGAGGGGTTCATTAGTTCACAAAGTTTATCTGCAAATCAGAATATAATCTCTTATAATACTGCTAATGCTAGTATTAAATTAGTTTTTATTAACAATATTCATCCTTTTCATTTGGTATATATTTATTTTTTATCTATAGTTATCATCTATAGTTATTGTCTATAGTTATCATCTATAGTTATTGTCTATGATTATTATCTATAATTATTAATTATAATTTTTAATTTCAATTTATATAGCATGATCACTCTTTCTATGTCGTTGGAAGGGTAATGGTACTACACCAGATCCAAGCACTTATAATTTAGTTAATCCACCATATCACGATACTGTAATGATACCACCAACTGGGTAAATTATTTTTTTATTTTTTTCTGAAATATAGACAAGCAGTATCAAATATTACTATGTAAGATTTGGTAATATCCGGTAGTAATTGCCTTCATTTTTCTTCTTTTATATTATCATCATTCTAACTTCTTTTTCACATTAAATAGATGGTTAG